CTGTACACCGCARAACGATTTGCGAAACGGTGTAACGTTGCCAAAACGATCGCTCCCTTGAAATCACAGCGAGTTACAGTGAGTGTCATCGAGGTTAAAAATTTGAGCCGTGAAATAGAGGTGCATATTCACCTTGCATCAGCAGTAAGGAGGCCTGCATATATATATATATCCTACATGTGCGTTCTAGTATATTCAATATTAAAAATAGAATAGTGCTTTTAGACAKTGAATGATTAAAAATATTTAGCATTTCATTTGATATTTGATTTCACTAAAAACAGTTCAAAACACCGGCATCCACTCACCACACCCACCTAAATTTCGGAGCAACGACTTTATACGAGTTTTCAAAGAAATAGCACATATAGCTTATCTCACTGTGCTGATGGCCTACGAAGATTAAGCATCCTGCAAATATGATTGCATTCGGAATGCAGCTCAGTCCAAAACTTCTCGAACCCTTTTATCCCGTGGTTACCAGTCCCAAAGCATTTGTAAACTCGAGAGTGAATCTGTGGGTCTGTTAAGAAAGTGCATCCCTTGTTATCGCGTGGTGCCCAACCCTGAATATCAACAATAATCAATTTACAGTCTGATGCTTGGTAAGTAAAATGACTGTAGGCCAACACAAGATCGGTACGTCTTCTTTCGTTTTTCCAATCAACGTTATTGGTTAATTTAGTAAACTCCCCAGACATGTATGGCTCAGCATTTAAGACATCGGTTACGTGACCGGAAGTRTTGACCAACTGGAGGAGAACTACCGGCAAAAACTGGATTTCTCCGACGGTTACACCTTATAAAAAGGAGAAGACCGAATTAAGATAATCAACCTTACAAAATTACTTAAAGTATTTTCGGACAGTGTTCCGAAGCCCGCTTTAGTTTTCCCAAGATTTTTACTGTGTTCGCCCCCCGCCCCCCTGAAAATTATAATTGACACTTTATTTCACTGCTTTCAAGATTGTACATTCTCGTACATTCTGTAAATTGTAGATGGCTTTTTTAAGGCTTGATAAGGAGGGTGACATAGTTATTCACTTGATTTGGTGATTGGTGGATTCAGCCCTCGTCAAACTGAAACCRCATTGAATACAGGCATGGCATGTGGATCGTCGAGAATGTTCGGATTGGCATCAAAACTCTTTGCAGGTAGAAAGGTTCCGTCATCGTTCGGACTGAGTCTYACTGCCGGATCAGAAAACTCATTGCAACATGACGATATGAGCAGACTTGATGGTAAAATTGCCTTTCATTTAAAATTTAATTTTATTTAATCTGACAGTTCTTTTATATTGATAGGTTTCGTAATGAATGCTTTTTAAAGTTCTTTTATACAAAATGCGATKTTACTTTCAGGAAATAGAAGAAAAGAAGCAGACTGGAAAAGGCGGGAAAATCGCAAATATCATGACGCGCGCGCAACAAAAGAGTTTGCTGATAGCACTGGAAAAAACCGCGCGCTTTAAAGGTTGTAAATTTGATGTAAATATTATGTAAGTGTCCAAAATGATGTAAATTTGATGTAAATTTACATCAAATTTAAGCATCAAATTTACATCAAATTTACATCATTTTGGACACTTACATAATATTTACATCAAATTTGCAACCTTTTAAAGTGAACGATTTTTTCCAGTGTATAGTTGAGAAGACTTGAAGAGTAGACTATGGATCAACTTTCTAAAACAAATTGTCTTTTTTTCCTCGTTTGTTAAACTCATCCAAGTGATTAAGAATTCTATAGCCAATCCGCACGCATGATGTCTAAATTACAACAAATTTGTTATTGCGCTAAAGAGAACGTCGTTTTCAAACTTGTGCAGCAACGATGTCGCTTTTTTCATGTGAGCGTTTGTTTTGTATTCGTATTAATTGAAAGTTTTGTTTCTCGAATCTTGCCGTCATTTTAATAGTCGAAAGTTAGCCACTCAATTTAATTACTGCCTAAGCTAATTTTGTTTAGTGAAAGCTTTTATTCTATTCTAATGATACCTGCGGCTGCCTTAGAAAGCTCTTGGTTAAACATCGCTACGTAATGCCGGGCCGTCATCTGGCTTAAGACGTCATTCTCATACTGCTGATGGTGGATTTTCTTTCGGTACCTCTTTGCTACATATCTGCACATAAAACCCAAGAGAATTGAACGACAGACTTAATGTTAGCCGTACGAAATGAAGGTCCTCCCTGGCTATTRTTCAACTTATTGAGTTTATTTGCGTACTTCCCTTGTACTAAAAATAACAACTTTGAATACTTTACAATTGTTGTTTAATTTACAGCTAATAAAATACACTCACATATACACACGATGATAGCAGTAAAAAAATTGCTTCTAAATCAATCAATGAATTCCTTCTTCTTTCGTCATTCTGTGAATAACATTTAAGTGTTGTCTCTACACGAGTAAACAAGAACTATCCAATATTGAAGAGAATAAGTTCGACCGTTAAGTTCGGCGTTTGACCACCGGCTAGCGTTAATAGTTTCCTCAATGAAACACTGATTCTAACATTAATATTCACCTTTGAAGAGGTTCATCTTGATTTATAAACTCCACAGCAAATACATCTCTCTGAGCACCTTCCATTCCTTTYTGGAGTTCCAATGGATCCCCAATGTATACCATAATTTGATTATACCTCCATTGTCTACTTGGGAAATCATACTTCCATAAAATACCATCTGAAATACAAGATACATCCATCTATATCTTAATAATCTTAATTCTCAGCTGCTTGTGCTGCTTGTGCTGTATCAACCTAGTATCAATATCACCCTAAAAATTTCGAAATTTCMACGAATTCAGGAAATGTTAAACGGTTCCCACGAATCTGATTAGAAAATCCTGGATGTTCAAATTTATTCTGAGGATATTCCACTTTTCCCGCCTTTTTTCGTTTGTTCCAGGTGACGCGCGTGTACCATATTCATTTCCCTCGCTTTTCAAAAGTTTGTTTTGCAATGCTTTTATTTATATTTTCACTAATGCTCGATGGACATTAAAGCGCTCGTGGTTTCCATGGAAAAATATCATTAAAACAGATGTCAATGACAGCGTGAGATTGATTTTGATCGTCGGCATACTTCGTATGATTGTGCAAAAAAATCCCGACACTTTCTACGAGTTTGTACCGTAATAACGGTATCAGTATTTTCATTTGGCGTTTATACCATGCAAAATTTCGTATAAACCGTGTGCGTCGTGTCCGTGTCGYTAATCGTGCCCGCATCACTCAATCATACGAAATCTGCTCTATCAGCTTTATACAGTCGAACCTATGGAAACACCTGAAAAAATAGAAATGAGAAAAGAATTTCTGGAAATCAATAAGTGGCCACTTAAACAAAGGATGACCGCTAAACAGAGTTCGCTCATATAAAAGTTACCGGATTACGGTAATCTTGAATGTAGAACATTACCTAGAGCTCTTTTTGATTTATCTTCATCTTGCTGAGGGTTTAGCTCACCAAAATGTAATGGCATTTTAGGCTGACTATGGGATGGTAACGACACGGCCTCGTCTTCTAAGCTTTGAATTATGATTTGCGAGTCACTTTCCGCTGAACGACTCAACAAAAATGCATATTCATCGACAGTTTTGCTCTTGAGTTGATCTTCTGCAAAAGCATCTCGATCAAGTATTTTGCCTTGGATGCTTAATGATTTCGGTTTTTCATCTTTTGAAGATGAACATCGGGAAGAGACCTTGCCATATTTGGAATCATCAACTGGGGAGGCAATGTTTTTGTTGCCTTCATTTTCCTCAAATGGGGCAATGGGAGGGTTATTTTCTCTCCGGGAGCCTTGGTTCTTCTCATCATTCTCACTTTCAGTGCTCTTTACATCTCTTTGTATGCTTGAATCATCAACTGGACAATCTTTTTCTTCTTCACCTTTGGTATTCATGATCAATTCAATTTGATCAATATTTGTGTCTGAGATATTATTCCTGTCTTCCTCCAAAACTTCAAACTCTCTGGGCTTGCACTCTTCTGTGAATATATTCTTTCTTCCTTCTATTTGCTGAGGATCATTTTCTGATCTGGCTACTTCTTGATCAGTTCTACATCTCGTTTTTCCTGGTATAACTGTAACTTCACCAATTCCGCTGGTCTTCGATTCTTCTTTTTCTTCTCCAGTCAGAGCACCTCCATCTTCGTCCGACGCTTCTTTTTGTTCTCCTTCAACTTGACSAGCATACTGATCAAGTGGCACACCCCCTTCTCGTCTGCCTGTATCTTCGTCAGTTCTGAATTTCAAATCTCCTACTTCTTCTTCTCCTACTTTGTGGTCATCTACAGTAATGCCTGTTTTGAAGCTTACTTCTCTTCCCACCTCTCCCATTGTCAGAGCAAATTGATCGACTGTGACACGACTTTCTGGTCTGTCCATATCTTCACCGGTTCTGGATTGCAAGTCTTCGCCCCTCAGTGCCGCAGTTCGTTTATCTTCAGTCATTACGACTAASTTTTCTTCCTCTTCTACTGTCAGTGCACGGCGATCCACAGTCCCATCTTTTTCTGGTGTGCCTGTGTCTTCACCGGCTCTGAATTCCACCTTTTCCTCCACTGCAAGAACTAGTTGATTTTCAWTCATACCGCTTAAAGTTTTTTCCTCTTCCACTGTCCGTGMACAGCGATCCACAGTCCCATCCTTTTCTGATCTGCCTGTATCTTCACCAGGTTTGGATTCAAATTCTTGATCGACATCAATACCATTTTCTGGTGGACTATCCCTATCTTTATCCGAAGYACCCTTATCTTCGATTGTAACTGCGCAACGGTCGACAGACTCGTCGGTCAATCTTTCTGATATAGTTTCAATGACTGGGTATTTCTCGACATCATTTCTTGATATATGCTGATTATTGTTGCCTGGGGAGCCAAAAAGGCTACTTTCATCATAAGTTAACGATTCAGGAGACCCCGGCATTGAAGGCATCTGTTTGTTATTGGCAAATAACCCCTCAACTCTAAGACGAGTATTTTCTTCCAAACGCTGGGCTCCACGCCGCTTGTAATATTTTAAAAGAATTTGTCCAGAATCTGGTAAATTATCGYTGTGGTACGTCTCCAATCTAAGTAAATCAAGGCACTTTTTAATAAGTTCCACTACTCGGTCATCCACCAGAACGTGGCCAGTAGAAGAGCAGTAGTGCTCAAAYAGCTTTGCTGCTATAGGTTTTAAGCTTCTTCCTACATCTTTGTCATTTTCCGATTGACGTTCTAATAGCGCAAGGCTCAATTTGAAACATGCTAAGACAAGAATGTAGAACTGTTCCCTGCTGGTCAGGGACTTGAACGACTGATGGGCCTGGATGCTATCTTTCAGGTCTTCAATAGCGACTCTCAACARCATTTGCCTTTCTTCTTTGTGCGTTGAAAGCTTGATAAACTCCAACAATACTTCACCTGCATGGCACTGAAAATGAAAGCAATTATAACAATCTGCTTCAATATAAGTTATGCAACGTGGAATATAATTTTCTTGTCATTAAGTTGTATTCCTTTTTCTTTTCCTTTCTTTTTTTTCGATTTTTTTATATTTGCTTTACTTTTACATTTACTTTAGCATCAAACGTTAAGGTGCTATAATAATAAGAGGCATTTATTGTCGCAAATATAGGCAAGGTTGGATGTAAGAGGTGAATGAAGAGTGCTTTTAAAGGTTTGGAGTGAGTTTAAATGTTTCGACAAAGGGAACAGGACACTTTAATGTGTAAAATGAAATAAAAAAATGATACAATTAAGCATGACGAGATTACTCATACTTAGGAAGGGATTAGCCTCCTCCACAGGCAACTCTTTTTTCCTTCTTTGGGCTTCCTTTGTAASGGTCATTTTGGCCGTTAGGGACTAGTSWCGCCCCCATTCTCCCTCTTTTGACTCCTCAAAAAGACAGGAAGCCCGTGATTCTTAGTGATGACTGCGGAGGAGGCTAGGAAGGGATTTACTATGGTGGCATTATGAAAATTCAAGGTCCTTATGGGAAGAACGTATGTCCGAGAAACACGAGACACAAAACCACAGTCAACTTGTTGCGAGRGATTGTTGCTGCTCAAGTTTGGAGTCGATGTTTCTCGTTTTACAACCTGTCTTAGCACTGGCAACTTTCAGCGCGACAAAAATAAGTCTTTTGTATCTCGTATTTCTCAGTSACATATTGACATACAACGTGYCTGACAAAGAACATCGGGGTGTACGTTGACGATTTTGCGGCCTCTTGAGCACTGATGTATGCCGCAAGAAGAGGATGTAACTGAACAAGCCCAAATTYCTGAGCCAAAATAGAATAGTCCCTGGATGTCATGTTGCGAAGACATGGGCACAGCAATCCATAACCAAGCGAAAGCCCCTGAAAAAATAAGAGTAAATCTTTCTACTAGTAGTTCAGTTTCATCCAGTGAGATGTGATATCAACACCATTGGTGGATCCAGGGTGGTACCTTTGAGGTTACGAAAGGATAAGGACCTGAGATCAAGGTTTAGAGAATCCCCCTTATTTCAATCTATTGTAACAAAACTGTTGAAAACTGTGAACCCCACCTTYTTATCAGGATTTGGAAGATTTGCAAACAATTCAATGGATTCCAGAAGAAGTCCAGCAGACTTCAACCAATTTCCAAGGATGTACTGTATTTCACCCTTAAGCTGAATACATGCAGCCCTCGTAAGGTCTGCTTGGAATTCATGTCTGTGCTTCCAATGCCCAACCCCTTCTTTTTCTTTGGATACTTCGTCCAGGATTTCCTCTGCTCCTRGGGKAAAAAATACTAGSTAAGCATTGAGTTAGTTTCATTCACCGTAAGATGATGTCGCCTATCATTACTTTCTTTCAAAACTTCTCTCTTTTTTCCTGKTCCTGTTTTTCATACTGCAATCGCTAAAGGCGTCCAAAACAAACCCCTAAAAGATACTATTGAAATGAGCCATCCTTTTTAAGCATGTTAATTGTTCTAGAACATGACTTACAAACACCATTTTCTTGAAAGCTTTAAGAAAGCATTGTCATCACTCTCAATCTACCTATGTAGAGATCTATAGAGATACCCTTGAAGATACCATTGCCACTGCTGGGCCAAAARCCTCTACAACACCCTCGAAGATGCAAGATTTTTACCCATAAAATATACAATAGTHATCTGATTCTTCATTTCAATGATAGGATAACAAAAATATTTCATAAAAAATTGTTTGTCATCACCATACTTTATTTAATACATCATTTTGCATGCCATACTACCAGTTCAATGTGTTACCTCTAAGATTGCCTTCATTCTTCATATTCCTTGCCCTTCTTACTAGCAGCTGTGGTGCAATAGCAGTTTCAGGGCTGTGTTCTTGAATATAATCCACTATGGCCATTGATATCTTCTTGTCTCCTTGCCAAAAAAGAAATCTGTCAAGAACAAATGTGACTGCTGCCAATTTCTTGAAATTTTTCTGCAGATATGCATGATACAAACATTCCTAGAAAATCACAAAATCAATGTGGTTATACTTTTGATGTTAGCTTTACACAGCTTCACTAAAATTTGTAATTGAATTGAATTAGTAGAAATTTGGGAGTTGATCAACTGAATATATGTACCGTATATATTGTTGTTAAGTTGTTTTGTCAAGCAGCAAGATGATTATTAATAATAAATATGAATTAAAAAAAAAGCAAATGCCACCACCTAGCAATATAATTGAATGTGTAATGCTTATTACCAATCTGAAATGAGATTATGCATCATCAAAATGCATATTTTTTTCCAAATTTGATCAAAACAACTAAGCTACAACTAAGTCAAATAAAATACAAACTTCATTTGAATCACTTATGTATTTCATCCTCATTTCTTTGCATGCCAGCAAGTCATTTCTCACGTACACATTCCTGAAATAATTCTTCAATATGGTAATGGCTTTGTGATTTACACTGTAATAACATTTATTTATATCTTACATGGAGAATCTGSAGTTCTGTGAGTGATGGCATGTGAACATTCTTGGAAATGATGTGCTCTTTYACATTAAAGCTTTCATTTTTTCCAACATCTTTGTCATCAATGAATTGCCTTCAAAAAATACAAGAGATAACTGGTGTTAAGTTAGTAATTAACAGCCACATGAAATGATAGTACTGATAAATGGTAMATTATTTTACACTTTTGCTTGTAGACAATTCAAGGATCAAAAATGTGAATTGGCCTTCTGGATTTTGGTCAAATGAAAGAGTGAAAAAGGATAAGTCTCTRAATGATCTCTAAGTTTTCTTATAATTATATTAATACTGTATTCAMAATATTCCATACTCAGGTTTACTGACCACAAACAAAGCATTGAACTGATTGAACTGAGGTGTCATGACACACTTAACATAAAAGAAAAGATATGTGGTCACTGTTCCTTTACGCCTCAGTTTAACTTAATACTTTATATGTGATCAAGCTGAGCCTGAGAATGGAAACAACTGGGTGAATATAATGTATAATTTATTACCTTTATCCATAGTTAACTATGCTTTATCACTTCCTTTTCAAATCAAATTCAGTTTCTTTAGTATTGTATACGACTCTGCTTTACAGTTGTTTAAAAAGAACCGTGAGCACCTTTAAAATTTAATATACCAGCAGTGGAATGTTTGTAGAAATGTCAACTATCTCATAAAAAGCTGAATTATAGGCCAATAAACTTCATTTGTAACCATAAAGAAGATCAGTTTTCCTTTAAATTGTCATCTTGCTTAAACAATGCTTTGTCACAAAATACTTTGAACATTCCAGACATATTTTAGGTGCTCACACTTCTTTTCAAACAACTATGTAACTAATCTAAAATATATTACCATGACTCAGGGACAAAAGGCCAGGCATGCTCTTCAGCTTCTTTAATCAGTGAATGYAGTTTTTGATTGGAAACCAGACTYAACCAGTGATGAAGAACATCAAATWCWATRTCAGGTTCACTGTACAAATCTTTCTGGCATTTCAAATACTTTTTCAACGTAGAAGGAAGATGGATACATTGTATTTCCTCTTTGTTTTGAACTCTAAGTAGCTTTAACTTAATTAGTTCTTCTAATACAGGAGGCATATTTAACAMAGGAAGAGGCTGCTGAAGAAAGCATAGCTCGCAAAGTATTCCAGTACTTGAAGCCTTCAGATGCTTATTGGTCAATCTGAGCACCATCTCTAAGACACATGACTTCTGCCCTGCAGTGTCAGTCCATTCTAATACAGACAGACTGTCATTTTCTTCTTGATTATTCAAGAAAGCACAGACCAGTTGTATTGCAACAGGATTACAATTGACCAAATCACAGAGATTAGATAGTTCATCGTCTTTTAGTGTTAACTGTTGTAGTTCAGTAGAGAATAAGTTTCTTGCAGCAGAATCACAAAGACCATTGACKGTTACATTGGACAAAACATCATCTGAAGGTCTATCATTGTCTGTTTGGCTAGCAATTACCAAAACACTTGTGATCTTGCATGTCTTTAAGACTTCACCAAGAAAGGAATCAATAAACTTAAGACATAGATCTCCATTATCAATACATATGACTTTAAAGTGATCCTCAAAGAATTCAACAAGACCTTCTTTCTTCAGATCTTTGTTGACTGATGATTTAGAGAATAAGGACACTTTCTCAGCATCATTTTTCTTTTTGGCTAACTTTGACATAAATTCCCAAAACAATGCCTTACGACAGCCTTCATTCAGAGAAAGAAACAATATTTCTGACTCYTTTACAAMATTAGTGTTGCAGAGCTGCTGGCAAAGACCTTGCAGCAATGTTGAGCAACCGCTTCCAGGTTCTCCATGAATATAGTAGACTCGAGAGGTGTCTTTGTTGTTCCTTATGGTCTCTAAAATACTTTGAAAGTCGCTGCTTAAATCCAGTTGCCATATTTGTTCATGGGCTTCTGGGTTGAAGTCACTTGGTTCAATTTGAACTATAGATTGCTGGAATATCTCCATCAAAGTTTAATTAAAAATAGTTTAACAAATGCCCCATTGCCATCCATTAAGACATATCACTGAATACTCGCACTTTTTCATTTAATAGCTTATACTAGTCTGAATGAATATCTTTATTCTGTGGACAAAACAATGACACTTTGGTAAAGCTTAATAAGCTTATTAACTTAATTAATTAAGTTAACTTAAGTCTTAAGTTAACTTAAGATTACTTACGATTAAGCTTATATTTGTCACTGAATTATAAATTACAATGATCATAAAAACTGAAAATATAACAGTTCTCTAGAATAAGCACAACAACAAGTTAGTCAAACAGACCGAAAACATAACCATCGTGACTGTATATACCTGCAAAGAAGTGGGCCATTGGACTTGCTGCCATCAGTAAGTTTAGTACTCAGCTCAGTACTCAGAGTAACAAATTCATGCTGTGAGCACTATTTCAACAAACATGAAAATCAACCTCTGAATATATGAATGAGGCACACGAGTATCGTATCGAGTACTTCAGAAACATACAAATAGTATGCAACAAATACAA